CGGGGATGCTCCTTGCCAGTGCCCCCCACTGAGGTGAGGGACGATGGTGGTTCTGTCACCTACGGGGTGGTGAGTTCCATTGTGGGCAACATCAGCCATACCCTTCTGGACCGATCTCGCTACCAAGGACCCTTCCTGCCTGGCTTCCAGCCCATCCAAGGAGCCCCCTCGGCCACAGGGGATGGGATCGAGATCACCCATTTTGACCACATCACGTACGTCTGCCCACGGGGCAGTGCCCGGGCAGCTCTGGACTGGTACCAGCGCTGCTTCGGCTTCCACCGCTTCTTGCTGAACCCGCGGGAGAGGCCAGCTGAGGGGTATGTGCTCGGGGGGCAGGGGGTGGGCATGCTGCTCCTCGCGCTGCAGAGCACCCAGAGTGCCCCGGCACACGGCTGCAAGCTCGTCCTTGCCGAGTCCCTCTCGGAGGACGGCGCCAACCAAGTCGACACCTTCCTAGAGCAGCATGGTGGGGCCGGGATCCAGCATGTCGGCCTCCGCACCACCAACATCGTCGCCACGACCAGGGCTTTGCAGCAGAGGGGTGCACGGTTCTTCACACCCCCTGCAACCTATTACAGCCAGGAGGGCAAAGAGGAGGAGATCCGAGGGGTCGGGCAGGACCCCTGCACGCTGGCAGAGCTGGGCATCCTGCTGGACACCACAGTGCCTGGGGACAAGGGCTGGCCAGGCACTGATGCAGAAGAGAGCCCTTCGCAGCAGTATTTGATGCAGATCTTCACCCATCCTGTCTTCTCTGAGGAGACGTTCTTTCTGGAGCTCATTGACCGGCGTGGCGCACGGGGCTTCGGAGAAGGCAATATACGGGCGCTGTGGAAAGCTGTGCAGGTCTATATGGACCGGCAGCAGTAGTGGCAACAGTGCAATCCTTGTCCCTCAGCTCCCTGTCCTCTCTGGTCCAACACGCTGCTGTAGAGATACCACATGGGCAAGGACCAAGGGAGGGCTTCAGGTCAACCCAGAGCCAACTCCACCTGGGAGCAAGTTGCTCAGGGCCAAGTCCAGTGGGTCTCTGAGCATCCCCCAGAATGGAGGGTGATTTCTCCCCCTCCCTGGGTTCCCAGTTATTTATTGACCTCATGTGAAAAACTTTCTGCCTTAATTTAATGAGACTTTTGTTTGCAGCAGGGCCAAGAATGCTGCTGGCACAACGCCCCCAGATGTAGGGGGATGAGGGGCTGCCGGAGGGAGCGGATAACTCAGGGGCCACGGACATAGCTGCTCGTCAATGGTTACCACCCAGAGCACAGCCAGCCCCTGTTACGGGGCAAGCAATGGGCTCTTACTCCTCTCAATTAAAGAATTAACTTGCAAGAACTTGCTTTGGTTTTTTCTCTCCTCCCATTTAAGACATGCCAAGTGCCAGGCAAGGATGAAAGGGCCCTTTCTGCCCTTTAAGGCCGGCTGTCCCCAGTCCTGCAGTCCCTCAACTGAGGCCACTTGCCCCTTGCACACCCCCTAGACCAGCCCCTGTCCCTGCCGGCCCCCGGGACTGGTGCCTTTGCCAGGGTGCAGCTGTGCATCACGGTCAGGAAAAGCCACAGGGTGAACACACTGAGAAACAGCCTGACGGAAAAGGTAAAAAAGGGGAATAAAAGCCTATGAAAAGCCGAGGGAGGGCTGCTTGGCTCTACAGAGGGTCAGCCCGTGGGGGCTGATGCCTGCCCTTTAGGGGGGTGTTCTGGGTGCCTTATTTGGGGGGTCAGCAGCAGTTGATGCTCAGCCAAGGGGCTCACAGGTGCATTAATGAAGAAATCCCTGCAGTCTCCAGCCCAGATGTAGGGATCCTGCCAGCCATCCTCACATCAGCCACAGGCTGCCTGACCCCCCCCAGCTTAGCACAGTGAGGGAAAAAGTCACTTTAAAAAAAAAAAAAAACAACACAACAGATGCTTTAGCTTTATTATTCAAAAGCCTATGGCTCAGGTTCAGTAAAAACAAGTGTATAAAAAGGGCTGTTGGAAGCCGGGAAGGGGACAGCAGCATCCACTGGGGGGATCAGTGGCTGGGGGATGAGGAGCAGGCAACCGGGGACAGGGCTGCGGGAGGGATACAGCACAGCCTTCCTGCTGCCGGAGAGAAACCCCTGCTGCTGTGAGTCCGCAGAGCCGGACCGGTGGCCATACAGGGCCGAATAACCACAGGAGGGCTCCGGCCAAGGAGGGAGGGCAAGCCTGGCTCACAGTCGCATTCAGGA